TTTCTCTTCTACATTAGAGATTCTATTTTCTGTATGATCTAGTCTGCTTTTAATACTTTCAAGGGAGATTTTGACTTCTTGTATTATAGCCTTCATCTCTAACAGTTCCATCTGATTCTTTTGTAAAGTGTGAAATTCCTCTTTTAGATCTTGCATGAATTTCCTCACCTCCTGGAACTCTTCAACTCCTTTCTCCTTCCTCTTCAGCAGTTCCTTGTATCTCTTCTCTTCCATCTCTGTAAGCTTAGCCATTAGGAATGTTCTGGATTCTTTATCAGACATGTCCAAGACTTCCCCTGAACTGTGTGCAAATGAAGAGGAGTTATCCTTTTCCCTTGGAAGAGAGATATTTTCCTACTTTCCATATTTCTTGTGGTCCTGAAGTGATTTCTAGTTATCTTGTAGATGGCCCATTTTGTCCCAAATTTGGAATTACAATCTAAGTGATGAGGACTGTGTGGAAAAGGAAACAGGGAGAGGGAAACAAAAGCAACAACAGCAAAAAATAAAAAGAAAATTAAAAAAACAAAACTTAAAAAAGACAAACAAAAAAACAGAAAAAAGAGAAAAACTTTTAAATAAAACTAAAAATAATTAATATTTTAAAAATTAAAAAAAAAACACAAAAATTAGAAAAAAATGCAGTGCACTTGCATGCTGTGAGACATGGCTAGATAGCAGGAGCCATGGAGCTGGTTAGTGAAGGATTATTCTGTACCCCTCCATCTCTCCTTGGTGGGGATTGGGAGAGGAAATTATTAACAAGATAAAAGCTAGGTGAGGCCAACAGGCCCAGAAAGATGCCTCACCTTAAACAAATTTCTAAAAAGCAAAAATTAAAAAATAAAAGAGAGAGGAGTGAGAGATAGAGACAGAGGGAGAGATAGACAAAGACAGATACTGATTGAGAAGGCCTGAGAGGAGTCATCCTACCACGCGAGTTTTCTACACTGGAGGCTGAATTATCAGCGGGACCTCTTTCTTTCTCCATTTCCCAAAAAAGGCTAGATAGCCAGAACCATGGTGCTGATACTTGAAGAAGGGCTTTTCTCCTCCATTCAGCCTCTGCTGTGTGGGCAGGAGGAGAGGGAATTATTTACAAGATAAAGGGCTAGACAGGGCCTGTTGGAATTTTAAACAAAATTCTACAAATCAAAAAATAAATAAAAAAAAGAGAGAGGAGTCAGAAACAGAGACAGAGGCAGAGATATAAAAAGACAGAAACAGAAAGAGGAGGTCTGATAAGAGATTTCCTGCCATGTGAGTTTTCTAAACTGGAGGCTGAATTATCAGTGGGACCTCTTCACTCCTCCATTTCCACCGAAAGGGCTAAATTGCAGGAGCCATGGAGCTCATTCTTGAAGAAACGCTGTTCTGTTCCCTTCTTCCTCTCCAGGGTGGGGAGTTGGAGAGGGAATTATTAACAAGATAAAGGGCTAGGAGGGGCCAACAGGCCCAGAAAGATGCCTCACCTTAAACAAAATTGTAAAAATCAAAAATTTAAAAAAAAAGATGAGTGAGAGACAGACACAGAGGAAGTGATTGACAAAGACAGATAGAGAGGAGGCCTGAGAGCAGTCTTCCTACCACATGAGTTTTCTATACTGGAGGCTGAATTATGAATGGGACCTCTTCATTCCTCTGTTGCCCACATTATGGCTAGAACAGAAGAGCCATGGAGGTGGTTATTGAAGTAGAGCTGTTCTGTAACCTTCTGCCACTCCTAGGTGGGGAGT